CACTCCCCATCTGCCTGCCCCTAAACTCTTCCCAAAGAGAGTCCGGGCTCTGTCAGCTCCTACCCACAGTGTTTTATATGTTTGTGCTGGTTTGTGATTAGAAATTCCACTCTGCCCTGGCTGGGTTGAGTAGCTGGGGCTTGCAAACCTCCCAGTTTAGCTCTTTCACAGCCTGGAATGAGCTGTGTGCATGTGGGAGCCTTTTTTTTTTTTTTTTTTTCCCCAGCTGTAAGAATGTGGACGATCATCTAGTGATAGAGAAAGTGACAAGGCAGACCTCTAAAAAACTTCACAATGTAGAGAACAGACAACGTGTGGGAGTCTTTTATTTTTTTAATTTAATTATTTTATTTTGGGAATATAGTTGATTTACAAAGTTGTGTTAGTTTCAGGTGTATGGCAAAGTGATTCAGCTATACATATACATATATCCATTCTTTTTCAGATTTTTTTCTATTATAGGTTATTACAGAATATTGAGTAGAGTTCTGTGTACTATACAGTAAGTCCTTGTTGATTATCTATTTTGTATATAGTAATGTGTATATGTTAATCCCAAACTCCTAATTTATCATGTGGGAGTCTTTTAAATCAAGTGTTTGTAACTGTTGGTGACAGGAGGGTAGCAAAACAGACTGGTGTGTCCACTTTGCTTCTTAGAGAGATTTGTTTTCCAAAGGCCATGTTTCCCACCCTGGGCCTAGCTGGAGGGGCAGCTTGGGAAAGACTTCCGCAAGTCTCTCCCCAGATCTGCCTAGACAGCCACAGAAAAGCTTGAGGGAGGTGGAGAGCACTGTTATTAGAGAGGTCATAATAAAGGTGATGTAAATGAAGAAGGAATAAATCATGCTTTTGGGCAGGAAGGCCTGATAAAGATGTCAATTCTCCCCGAAGGGATCTATAGATTCAATGCGGTTCTAGTTAAACCTTAGCAGGTTTTTTCATGGAACTTGATACAATGATTCTAAAATATCTACACAAGAGTCAAGGTCTAAGAGTATCCAGGACACTTCGGAAGAAGACAGGAAGGAGGGATGTGGCCTAGCAGATGCCATGGTGTGTTATAAAACTGTATCACTACACTAGGGGGGTTCGTTTCGGGACCGAGTGACCCCTGGGAGAGTCAGTGTGTGACAGCAGAGTCGTAGCACATCAGCGAGGACAGGAGGACCGGTTAATATGTGGTGCTTCTTACGTTCCAAACAAAAGCAGACTGTCAGCGGATGTCATGGACCAAGTGTTGCAGTTAACCAAGTTCTCTGCATTGATGTCCAGGTTTTTAAAAAGAAAGAAGTCCAGGGTGAAGGCAGAGTTGACAGCAGAGTATCAGTGACAAAGACCAGAGGCTGGCTTTTTTGCTGGCGTAAGAGGCAGTCTTTGCTGTTTCCTCCAGGGCTGGCTTTCCTTTGGGGTTGGGAGGAACCCCTTTCCTCAGGCACAGGCTGCCTGGACTTAGTGCTGAGGTCCAGGGCCCCAGAGCTTAGAATACTGCCCTGTAGTCCTAGATATGGGTCTGGCACCTTCCCAGGAGACAGAATAGGCCCTATATCAGTTTGGGTTGGGGATGCTGGATCTGGTGTGTCCTGCTTTCCTTAGGCGCAAGAAGGATGGGATAATAGGAACTGAGCTTTCTTGGGGAAAGTGGGAAACGAGGTTGCTTTCTCCTGAATGAAGTCAGTGAGTATGAATTGAACTTCCTCTACCTAGTGGCAGGATGGTTAGGGCACGTGACTCTTTAATAAGGGTGGTCTGTACTATCAGAAAGGAGCAAGGTGAGAATGGTAAAGGGCAGCGTCCAATGAGAGCTGCTCTGGAGCTGTGCTGTCCAATACGGTGGCCACCAGCTACACGTGATCAAATCTAAACTACTTTAAAGGAAGTAAAATTAAAAATTCAGCTCCCCAGGCACACAAGCCACATTTCAAGAGCTTACTAGCCATACATGGCTAGTGGCTACCGTATTAGACGTTACTGTCATCACAGAACATTCTCTTGGGAGCACTGCTCTGCTACTGGAACCTTTGTATTTTGCAGAGACATTTCAGACCAGTTATCTCCCAGATCTAAGTGAAAGGCCCATCTGGTAGCCTTAGTGGCAGGCCAGACAGGTTTTGCCCACACATCCTGGCTCTGCCTCTCCTAAGTTCTGTGACACTTAGCCTCACTGAGACTGGTCTGTAAAATGTGATTGGCTGTTTCTTAGACGTGTAAGGATGTGTGATGGTCAAGGGAGATCATGCTGGTATAGCACTTTGCAGGATGCTGGCACAGCATAATCACTCTGTACATAGCAGCAGGTGAAAGGTGAGGGTCAAAGAGGCGAAGTGACATGGCCAAGGGCACTGAACTAATAAAGGAAGGTCCAGAATGCCAACTCCCATCTCTTATCCTGCCTTTACTGCTCCTTCCAGACCTAATCTGTGCGTGAGAGAAGCTGATACAGAGTGTGCTGAGGAGGAGGTGGCTGTCTGCAGGGTGGGCTCTGCCTAGGGCCAGGCAGGATCGTCCTGGGGCAGAAGAGCTGATGGATGTGAAGTCCGGGGTTTCTTGGCTGGATGCCGGGGACCTGCTAGCCCCATCTTATTTAAAATCTCTCTCAGGCCTTGGATTTTAGCTACTCCCCACATCCTTTCAAGCTCAAAACTCAGAAAAGTGCTTTGTTTGGGCCACACAGAACCCTGGAGCCTTGAGTGACCCATGAGATGGTTTCAGAGTGAAACAGTTCTTGGGACCTTCCAGGAAACGCTGGCTCCTCCAGGAAGCCCACCTTGATTTTCTGATGTTTCCTTTTTCCCCCTCAGTTTTGTTCAAATTCCCAGAGCCTTCCCCATGGGAGGGATTGCAGCATGCTTCCCGTAGACCTGAGGTTCTTCCTGTTTTTTCGTGACAGGAACATTTCAGTTAAAAGCTAATGAAAGTAAAGACCCCTGAATTCCATCCGTCAGGCCATAGAGATCATTTCTAGCCTCTTAATCTCCCCTCCTCCAGACTTAGCCCATTGTCTAGTCTTGGGACCCCTTGTGACCCCCAGGGTCTGGAACACAATAGGTGCCTGGCATGTGCCTTTGTGGGTAAAAATAGGCCTTGCAGGTCCCCTCAAAGTGCAGACCTGCCCCAGCTGGGGGTAAGCCAGCTGGGACCAGATGCTTCCTGAAGGAGGGGACGACGCAGGTGCTGGAATGCCTCACACGGCCTCCTGCTTCCCAGCAGCTGCGTGAAGCTGGGCCTCAACCTGCAGAGGAAGAAGCCGGTTCCAGGCTGCAGGGCTCAGAGGGGACCTTTGGGCCTGGTTCACAATGGACGACAGGGCTCCCATGCAGCCTGTTGAAGATGCCATGTGGCTTGCAAAGTCTGGGGCTCTGGTCCTGGCCCGTGGGCTACCAGCAGCATGTTCTTTGCCTCTTTGGCCCCAAATGGGCATGGCCGTGTGCCCCTCATCCCCAGCCATGTTTAGCTGAAGCTGTCCTGCTTGACAAATGGGCCATTTACTTCCTGCGCTGGAGCTGGAGTGGCCGGCCCCCAAAGAGAGACTATAATTAGCAGAGAAGAGTGGATGGGATTGCACGCTAGCATCAACAGTTAATTTTATACTCACATGGAAACATAAACTGATGTCCTCGGAGATGTACATATCATTTGGAAATCTTGAAGTGCCTGGGAGGGGTATGCCGGCCTCTCCCCGTGCCTACTGCCCCTGGAACCCTTGAATGAGGAGCCCAGATCAGCATGTGCTGTGTGCGAAGCCGCCCTGGGGACTGCCTGCTGGCCGCTGGGAGGGCTGGACCAGGAGACACGAACCTGTGACAGCTCAGCACACAGTGGTGCGGGAGTCCAGAAGTTTGGGTCTGCGTTTGCCACAGTAGCTTTCCTATGGCTTTAGTGGTCTGGAAATGTTGCAAGGCTGACTAGCAAGGAAAATGTGATCTTTTGTAACAGGAGGGAGATCAGACCAAAGGAAGTTTTGTTTCCTCCCGGCAAGGCTGTTCTGGAGTTTCCGGGGAGCTTATAAAAATAGAAGAAGCCACTGACTGGCCTTTACAAAGAGGGCTGGGATCAATTCTGCTCAGAATGGAGGCCAATGACAGCTTTGGTGTTTTGGAGATGGTTTACGGTACTTTAATCCAAAAGCATAGCCTCAAGCGGGAAGGAGGGAGGGGGACAGGCTAGGGCACTGGGAAGATGTCAGGGCCTGTGTCCATCCTGCCCAAGAAGAGCTTTTTTTGTTTCACAACAGGAAACATAGAACTCTCAAAAGTATATGGAATCAATCCTGAAAATATTAAGATGTTATCTTGTTGGTTCAGTGACAACCTGAGAATCATACTTTCCACCAAGATAGAGGGTGAAGCCCCACCTCTGTTGCCCCCATGGCCTTGCATGTTGGCTGCACTCCTGCCTGGGCTCTGAAGATGTCACCTCTTTGTGGGGTTCTTCTTTAACCGTCATCCCCAGGGTGAAGGGGTGGAAGGATCCCCGGGGTGGAAGGATCTCTGGGCTCTGTGTCTGGTTCAGGGTTAGGGTTGAGTGAGTGATTTCTTATAATTGCACTAATTCGGAAGGGGAGGATTTGGCTCTCTAAAGCTGCTTGCCCTTGTTCTCAGAGGACCCGCAGGGCTTAGGCCAGCCTTGAACAATGATTTCACCATGTTCTGGGGTTTGGAGCATGAACTGACCAAATAACTCTGGTTAATCTTTCCCTATCAAAGGTAGGTTTTATTTCCTGTGGTCCCCATTTTCCTATAGAGGGCTGTGTGTGTGTGTGTGTGTGTATCCTGTCTTATAAATTAAAAAATTTACCCAACTGGGTAATTTGGATGACATCATTTCACTCACAGTTTTCCTGATATGGCCAACTTGTTAATAAGTGGCTCATGGCCAAGTTTGTCAATGCCTTTCGCACCTATTGGCCCATGTGTGTTGGGAAGGCATTCCTTTTAGACCAGGGGAGTGGGTCTCAGTAGTCCCAGATTATCCTTTCAAACTAAGGGGAATGGCACTTAGCTGAGAAATACAGCAGAACCCTGGACCCGAGGGAGATGGCTTCCCAGTAATCCCCTGTTACCCAGTGTTTCTAAGTAAGGTTGGTCTGTTTGACTTTCGGCATCCCCGCCACTTGTCAAAGCTTAGGAGAAGCAGGCACTTCCCTTTACCCAGGACAGTCTTGGCGCTCTTTAGAAGGCAGTCAAGGGGATCTACTTTGACGGCACATTGTAGCCAATTTAAGGCGGGGGTAGACCAGGAGTAACTTGAGGAGTTCCAGATGTTGACTCTAGGGTAGCTGTGCTCATGGCACATCTGGCCCACATCTTGTCTGTATTATCCCTCATTTCCTTTACTCAGACCTTTGCTGACAGCACCATGGCTTCCAGCTCCTCTCCCACACTGCCTTCTGCTCTGTGAAGTCCAGGGTATCTGCTCTCAGGAATGTGTGGCCCGGAAAGCCAGAATCCTTGGACGGGAAGGAGGCTGGGTAGACAGCGGCAGACTCAAACCCAAGGGGGTCTCTTGGGAAGCCTGGCTTGCATCCATTCGACAGACATTGATTGTAAATGCCTGTTGTACTTCCTAAATGTCAGGGCTGTTGTGGGTGCTGACGATGTCTGAAATGGTCGAAAATCCCTCCTAGCATGGAGCTTATGTTCTTGTGGGCAAGACAAACAATTAAAAACTAGAGCAAAAAATGTAGTATGTTAAGTACTTGCAATTACAAAGGAAAAACATAAAACAGGAAAATGGGATCGGGAGTTTCAAGGAGAGGGATTTTCTACATTTAAACAAGATGACCCCAAAGGCCTCACTGAGCAGGAAACGATTGAGCAAAGACGGAAAGGAGGTGAGGGAGGGAGCCATAGAGCCGTATGGAGATCAGGAGGAAGAGCATTCCAGGCAGTGGGAACAGCCTGTGCAAAGGCCCTGGGGTGGCACACTTCGTGTGTTTGACCAGCAGTGAGGAGCCCCGTGCAGTTAAAGCAGAGTGAGGAAGTGGGGGGAGTGAGAAGTGAGCTCAGACAGGCTGCGTAGGCTGTGATTAGGGTTGTGGCGTTTACTCTTGGCGCACAGAGTACCAGCCTGCCCTGATTAGGTTTCGCCTGTCACTGTTGTGGAGAACAGGCTGAAGGGGGCCAGTTAGAACACTATTGCGGGTCCCAGTGCAATGTGGCGGCGCAGCCACAGACTCATCTGAGGGTTCGGGGTGATGTCAGCTGATCAGTCTCCCTGAAGATTTAGTATGAGAGTTTTCAGGCTGAGAGCAAACAAGGGGTCCCCCAAGGGCTTTTTTTTGCCTGTTTTTTTCTGATGGGTTGTTACAGTGATCACCTTTCCACCCTTAGGAAAGTTGATGATGAAGAATTCACCGGAAAAGCCCTCCTGCTCCGACTTTCGGCCTTCCCGATAGTCTTTCTGAAGATAAATTCCATGTTTATGGTGCTGAGTGAAATGCCCATCTCCCCGAGCAGTTCTGAAATTTCCCTTGGTGACCTGCCTGTGTAATACGCATCCCAGGGGCCCCAGGCTTTCAGACTTACAGTGTTTCCAGTTTCCTTATCTCACAAAAGCCTTGCAAAAACCTGTGGGGTGAGCAGGGCAGAAATGATAAACTTCAGCCATTTTTCAGATGAGAGCACAGACTCATGTGGTCCAAGGCCTATCCAACGCCCAGGGTTAGCAAGTGGCACAGCTGGGACTCGAACCCAGGTTCTCTGACCCTCTAGCCAGTGGATTTTCCCTGACTCACCAGTACCTTCTTCTAAAGCAGCATTTCCAAATAGGGTCTGTGTTAGTTTGCTAGGGCTGCCATAACAAAGTGCCACAGACTGGGTGGCGTAAACAACAGAGATCTGTTGTCTTGCAGCTCTGGAGACCAGAAGTCCAAGACGAAGGTGTGGGCAGAGTTGGTTTTCTCTGAGGCCTCTCTCTTTGGGTCTGTAGATGGCTGTCTTCTCCCTGTGTCTTCACATGGTCTTCTCTCTGTGTGTGTCTGTATCCTCATCTCCTCTTCTTCTAAGGACGACATTTGTATTGGATTAAGGCCTAGTCATAAGACCTCATTTTAACTTAATTACCTCTTTAAAGCCTCAATCTCCAAGTACAGTCCCATTCTGAGGTCCTGGGGGTTAGGGCTTCAGCATGTGAATTTGGGGGGACACAGTTGAGCCCATAACAGTTTCCCTCGCATCCAGTCACCTGGGGTGAGCCCCTCTAACGGCAGACACCGCAGCCCTCAGACGAGCCCTTTGTAGGAAAATCACGCGACTGCCAGTTCTTCTCCTCTCTCACTCCTTGCTTTCTTGCCGCAGCTGATCGGGGGCCTGGTCCTGTCAGTGGGGATCTATGCAGAGGTCGAGAGGCAGAAATACAAAACCCTGGAAAGTGCCTTTCTGGCCCCGGCCATCATCCTCATCCTCCTGGGGGTTGTCATGTTCATCGTGTCCTTCATCGGCGTGCTGGCTTCCCTTCGCGACAACCTGTGCCTTCTCCAAGCGGTGAGTCCGCCCCACGCACCCCTCAGCCACTGGTGGTGGTGGGGTCCTTGGCATCCCCAGGAGAGCTGGGGAGAGCACCCCTGGGCCCTTGGGCATCCCAGTTATTCAGTCCTTGCCTCAAACCAGCTCTTTTAGAGGGTTTCCTGGGTCAGCCTGTCTGTGCACGTTGGCCCAAGAGTGCCCAGCCTCCTCCACTTCTGCGTAGAAAGGCTGATTTGAATACTGTTCTTCTTACTTAAACCCTGTGTTGGTCTGGACTGTCGGTTGGAGGTGGGAGAAAGCACACTCAAATGAGAGCAAGCAAAACCAAGAAGAGTTGTTGTTGGTGAGTCAGTAGCTCATGTAACCTGCAAGCCCACACTGGGTCCGGGGGTACAGACGGTGCCCTCAGGCTCTCTCTCTCGCCACCTCCCAGCTGGACGCCTGATGCTGTCCTCAGGCTCTCTTTGCAGTGGTGGCCAGCAGCCTCAGGCCAACAGTCCTTATGGTTCTTGATTCCGGGGAATCTTTCCTGGTAACTCTGGCCAAGGTCCTAGGACTCTGATGGGCCTGCTTGGCCAAGTGCCTGCCCTGGGGTCAGGGGAGGTCAACTCCCCTACTCCGCTTACTGGCAGGAGATGGATGGCTCCCCAGAGTGGGGGGTGCCGGGTAGGAGGATCTGTTTTCTCTGCAACCACATGTGTGTTTGACCTCATTGTCCCCCTCACACGGGAAGCCCCTAAAAGCCCCTATGAGGATAGTCTCGGTGCTGCCTGAGCCTGGAAGTTATTGACATCAGTTTGGACAATGCCCGTTTCTGTGATAAAGGGGGGTGTATCCTCTAAGCCTCAGGCATCCCCTCACCCACCCTGGGGGTCTGGGAAGCCACTGTGGAGAGCCTCTGCAGGCAGAGCTGGAAATGCTGCGCAGCCTGTCCCCTCTGGGTCAGCCAGAGCGAGGACCAGCTCTGCTTGTGGTCGGGGGTGGGTGGAGGGGATTGTGTTTCTCCACCTAGACCCTGCTGAGGACCCCTGGGACAAACCTCGATAACAGTCTGGCTGGGACAGCTGAGTCCCTTTTCCTGACCACTAGCTCCAGCGACAGGCTTTCCCGGGAATGTGTGTCCACATCCTGTGTCCTCACAGGAGGAAGGGACGAAAGGCCCAGGAGCTGCTAAGAGCTCCGACAGAGGTGATTCTCTTTATTGCGCTTGAGCTCGGCGCAGATGGCACTTCCGCTTCCCCTCTAGGTGAATCTCTGAATTTTGTTTTCCAGTTTATGTACATCCTTGGGATTTGCCTCATAATCGAGCTCGTTGGTGGCGTGGTGGCCCTGATCTTCCGGAACCAGGTGGGCCTCTGGCGCAGTTATCAGCCATGTGTATGCTAGTCACGCACTGTGTGTGCGCCCAGGGCTGCAAACTGGGGGTGCAGCAGAGAGCTGGGCAGATAATCCCTCGTGGAACATCCACTGGGCTGGGGCGATGGGCACTGAACAGGTAAACCGGAGAACAAGAAAACAAAACAGGCTGATAACAGAGTGCCTGGGGTGGAGGTGGGGAGGATGCTGCTGAAAAGGAGCCAACCAGCTAAGGCTCAGAGGGAACAGAGGTCCAGGCGGAGGGAGCCACTGAGGCAGAAGGGAGCTTGGCGGGTTTGTGCACAGTGTGGAGGCCGCTTGGCTGAAACAGGTGAGTGATGGGCAGGGGGCAGAAGATGAAGATCTAGGGCAGATCAGGTAGGGCCTTGGATTTTTGTTTTAAAGGCAGTAGGAAGCCTTTGGAGAGTTTTATGCTGGGAAGTGATGTGGTCTGATTCACATTTTACTTGCTGCTGAATGGAGAGTGGACAGTAGGGAGACCAGCTGGATGGGCCTTAACCACAGGCATGTCTACACCCTTGGAATCCAGGGGTCTTCTTCCTGTTTTGTGATGGAAGGGGAGATTCCCATCATATTGATGGAGTCCTTGAGGCACAGAGAGGTTAAGAAGCCCTCCTAAGAGCACACAGGAAGATGGAGGCAGCTCAGGGATGCTTTCCAATCTTTTTTTCAGTTCTTTTTTTCTCCCCTGCCCTAGCTTTATGGGGAATAATTGACAAATAAAGTTGTGATATATTTAAACTGTACAGTGTGATGATTTGAGATATGTATACATTGTGAAAGGATTACCACAATCAAGTTAATTAATACATCCATCACCTCAAATAGTTAACTTTTTTTTTTTTTTTTGGTGAGAATACTTAAGATCTGTTCCCTTTGCAAATTTCAAATGTATAATACAGTATTATTATTATTATTATTATTTTTTTTTTTTTTTGGCGGTATGCGGGCCTCTCCCTGCCGTGGCCTCTCCCGCTGCAGAGCACAGGCTCCGGACGCACAGGCCCAGCGGCCATGGCCCACGGGCCCAGCCGCTCCACGGCATGTGGGATCTTCCCGGACCGGGGCACGAACCCGTGTCCCCTGCATCGGCAGGCGGACTCTCAACCACTGTGCCACCAGGGGAGCCCTATAATACAGTATTATTAACTATAGTCAGCATGCTATACATTAGATCCTCAGAGCTTATTCATCTTATAACTGGAAGTTTGTACCATTGACCAACATCTCCGTATTTCGCCCGCCTCCTATCGTCTGGCAACCACTTTTCTACTCGCTGGTTCTATGAGTTTGACTTTTTTTTTTTAGGCTCCACATATAAGTGACTCCATATAGTGTTTGTCTTTCTCTGTCTGACTTACTTCACCTAGTATAACCCACTCGAGGTTCACCCATGTTGTCACAAGTGGCAGGTTTTCCTTCTTTTTTATGGCTGAATAATATTCCATTATATACACACACACACACACACACACACACACACACACACACACACATATACACACACACACACACACACAATGGAGAATATACGTATATCTATATATCTACATAACTGTATCTCTCTCTGTATCTCTCATATCTTTATCCATTCATCTGGCAACAGACACGTTGTTTCCATATCTTGGCAATTGTGAATTATACTGCAATGAACATGAGAGTTCTTTTCCTGGCAGATAACTCTTTGAGATAGTAATTTCATTTCCTTTGGATATATACCTGCAAGTGGGATTGTACCACATATGGTAGTTCTATTTTTAATTTTTTGAGGAATCATCATACTGTTTTCCATAATGATTGTACCAATTTACACTCCCATCAACAGTGTACAAAGGTTCCCTTTTCTCCTCACCAACATTTGTCTCTCGTTTTTTGATAATAGACATTCCAACAGGAGTGAGATAACATCTCACTGTGGTTTCAGTTTGCGTTTCCCTGATGTTTAGTGATGTTGAGCATCTTTTCATATACCTGTTGGCCATTTGTATGTCTTCTCTGGAAAAATATCTATTCAGGTTCTCTGCCTGTTTTTTACTCAGATTACAGTTGACCCTTGAACAACATGGATTTGAAATGTGTATGTCCACTTACACACAGAGTTTTTTCAATAAATATAGTACCTGTATTTCATTTTACAGATCCTTAAATAACTAAGTGTGAGGAAAAGTTTATGTTCGGTTAGAGATTACAATATGTGGAGTCAAAAGATCTAGGGTTTGAGTCCTGACTCTATTTAAGCTGTTTTAGCTTCCTGCCCTTGGGTGAGTTATTTATCATTTCCTTTGCTTTTGAGGCAGACATAGCAGTACGCAGATTTTCAACTGTGTTGGATGTTGGCATCCCTAATCCCTACAGTGTTCAAGGGTCAACTGTATTTGGGTTTTTTGCTATTCAGTTGTAAGTGTTCCTTGTATATTTTGGATATTAACCTCTTATCAGATATATGGTTTACAGATATTTTCATAGTTTGCCTTTTTACTTTTTTGATTATTTTGCCGTGAAGAAACTTTTTTGTTTGATGTAGTCCCACTTATTTATTTTTGCTATAGGCGACATTGCCTATAATGTTTGATGTCAGATCCAAAAAATCACTGCTAAGACCAATGTCAAGGAGTTTTTCCCTATATTTTCTTCTAGGAGTTAGTTCTACAATTTCAGATCTTATATTTAAGTCTTTCATTCGTCTTGAGTTGATTTTTGTCTATGGTATAAGATAAGGGTCTAATTTCATTCTTTAGCACATGGATTTCCAGTTTTCTCAACACCATTTATTAAAGAGATTGTCCTTTCCCTGTTGTATATTCTTGGCATCTTTGCTGGAAATCAGTTGACCATATATGTGTGGGTGTATTTCCAGGCTCTCTATTCTGTTCCATTGACCTGTGTGTCTATTTTTATGTCAACACCATACTATTTTGGTAACTATAGCTTTGCAATATTGAAATCATGAAGAGTGATGCCTCCAGCTTTGTTCCTCTTGCTCAAGATTGCTTTGGCTATTGGGGTTTGTTGTGGTTCCATATGAATTTGAGGATTTTTTTTTCTATTTCTGTGAAAGATGCCATCTGAATTTTGATAGGGGATCACATTGAATCTGTAGATTGCCTTGTCCCACTGGTTGTCTTCCCAATCTAGTTTTGCTACCTGTTCCTCCCTTTTTCTCTTTTCTGCTTTTCAGACCATCTGCTCTGGGCTGGCAGTTCCAGGGTATTGGTTCATTTTTCAGCAGCCCTGAGGGGAGAGAGATGTTTATTCCATTTGCGAATGGGGATGCATTTTTGTGCAGTCAGCAGGGCTCCTGGCCAGCCCACAGCTTTCCAGAGTTATGAGTGCTTTACTGACTAAAGCCCAGGTCCAGGCCAGGGTTAGCAGCATCAGTGGTTTAATAAACAATCCCCTAAGTGAACAGCAGTTCTGGTTTCCCAGGTGCTTTCACAAAGGCGGTTGACTTATTTCCCAGTGCCGGGTAGGTCAACAGGGGCTGTGACACCACTCTTTTCCAGGGAGAGAACTAAGACGAAACCTCCAGGGACCCTTAGCTCTTACAGCTGAGGATGCCGTGGGCCTGAGGTCAGGGGTGAGAGTTTCCATTATCCCCAAACCCTGAGGGCACCACGGGGTGAAGTGTGTTCCTTCCCCTTGGGTGGGTTGTCCCCTTCATGGGGCCCTGTCGGGAAGGTCTCAGCGTGCAACCCAGGAAGGACCTTCACCTTCAGGGATCTCAGCTCTTTGGAGGCTCATGATGGGCTGTGCTGTCATATGCCCGTGATACATAATTCAAAAAATTAAAAAATGAGATACAAAACTAAGTGCAGTAAGATCTCCACAATGAAAAACATAGGCCTGGAAAAACCTGGAAGGAAATAGAAATATTAACATATTAATTCATATCTCCTCTGAGGGATGGGACTCTTTTTTTCCCTAGCTCCCAAATTTTCTTTTTCTTTTTTTATAATCAAGGGGGAAAATACCATATAAAGAAAAATGATGTCCCTGCCAACTGTAATGCCATGCGATTTTGTAAAACAAGAAATGGGCCAATGGCGAGGATAGGGAAGGAGCAGCCTGGCTGTTGATGGTGGCAGAAAGGGGCAGCATATGATGGAGGAAGAGGTGAGGCACAGTCAAGGTCAGGTTCCAGGAGGAGGTGAGTTCCCAACTCCAGTTTTTCTTCACCAAGAGGAGAAGACAGATTTCTCTGAATCACAATGTAATAAGTTCAGTCTCCAGCCCTGCAGGCTACCTCTTAACTCTAAGAATCCACTTGTGGTGACAAATGAGGACAAGTCATCAGGCTAATAACTTCATACAGGGTTCTCAGGAAGGTGCACAGACCATGGTCACTGCCAGGCAGCGAAAGATAAACAGACTCCAGAGTGTAAGGAAGAAACTCTCCATCAACCGCTGCCCCTGGATGAGGCTTCTGCTGCCAGGCATGACCCAGTAGTTGGACTGAAGCAGCTTTTCTGCTTGTGCAGGGTCGAGTGGCCGTGCGTTGGGTGCAGAGCTGTTGGCCCCAAGGGCCCGGGCATTAGAAGCAGAAGTGCAGCACCTTGAACCCAGTGGGGGGCAGAGAACCTGAATGACCTCCACAGCTGTCTGGGTCTCACCGCTCTTGACCTGCCATCACCCCAGCTTGTCCCGAGCCTCTCTGGAGGGTGTCGGGGGTTTTGGAGGTGGGCAGCTCCTGACCGTATGTTCCCAGTGAGGCAGGGCTGAGCAGGGACACCCAGAGGGCACTGGGCTGTAGCTGGTACGTCTTTACCCATCCCCGACCTCCTTCCCTCTACCACCAGAACAGTCAGGGGAGCGACCACTTTCCTGGCCTTGATCAGAGGGTGCTGTGGTCACACCTAACACCAGGCCATGGAATGATGGGCAGCACCCAGCCTGTTTATCATGGCACTGCCACGAGCGGGCTCTGGGTGTGACCGTGAGGTCAGGGCAGGGAGAAAGGAGACAGCATGGCCTGCCTGGCTGAGCACCTGAGCATATATATCCTTCCCACCCAGAAGAAAGTAGAGAAAGTTCTGCACTGTTGTGGACAGATTCCCATAGCTGGTGCCTCCCACTGTGGGAGTGAGAGCTGGAGCCCCAAACACCTGGGAGACCAAAGCATAACCCTCTCCCACCATGGGGATTAATCCTGTGACCTCCAGCCGGGTATTCAGAGAACCTTGCAGAGTTTGCACCTCTTTCCTTCTCACTCCCTGGGTTCCTCTCAACCCTTGGTTGTCTGATGGGGCCCATCTCAGGGCTGGAGCAGAGGCTGGGGTCTGGAGGCAACGAGGATGGATCCCCACCTTCTGAGGGTACTGTGGGGAGCCCAGAGATGCTGGCTCAGCCCAGGCACTAAGGGAGGAAGGCAGTCCTAGGCTGAGCACCCGACTCTGCGTTATGAGAGCTGAGCTGCCAGGTGTTGGGCCTCCCCAGCATGGGCCTCAGAAGCGGACACGAAGTGATGGAAGCCGGCTGGCAGCCTGTAGGAAACTAGGACAGCTGCGTCCCCAGAGGCCTGGTGGGAGGCTCCGGCTGCCAGCCAGCCCTTCCACCCCTGCCGTCCTGGGGGAGCTGCTGCCCCATGTCCCCCACCCCTCCAGTTCCTCATTTATTTAGGCTAAAAAAAAAAAGGCTTTATTGATATTTAATTCACATGCCATACAATTCGCTCATTTAAAGTGTGCATTCAGATATGTGCAACCAACACCACTCTCGATTTGAGAACATTTTCATGACCTCCAGAAGAAATCCGACATCCCTTCGCTCTTCTCCTCATTCATTTAAAAACTCTCCAAGTGCCTCCACTGAGAGCAGTGATGCAGAGGCTTCAGATATCTTTAAAACTAGATTAAAAGAAAGAACTAGAAAGGGCAGCTCTTTGTAGCTTGAGTCTGGTGGCTTGAACAATGTGCTCTGAAAATCCCATGGCCTTTGATGCTTGCTCACTCTCTGCTTAATTTAGCCCGGGCCACGTGCCTCTGAGGCCATGCCAGCCGTTTGTGAAAGGTGGTTTTCTAGTCCTCATTGGAGCTGCCCCTGCTGTGTGACCTGGTTTAGAGCAGGGTGGGGCTGGCACTGTGTGCGTTTGGCCTCTGGACGCAGCAGAGGAAGCCAGAATTCTCTTTTCCCTTCCATGCTCCCACAGAGCGCGTCCTCTCAGCGGCTCCCCCAGTCCCTCAGGACGTTGTGGGATATAAGCACCGTGCTTTACACTTAATTAGAGTTAATTAATGACCTGTATGCCCTCCACCCCCACAGGAACCACCCAAGCATTCTACGCACGTCTCTGGCATGGGCATGCACGCGCACACGCACACGCACGGTGCCAAAGGCAGTGCACACGTGCAAGAACCGGCACAACCTAAAGAGCTCTCTGATGGGAACTGGGGGCAGCTGCCGCCTGTGGAGCCTGGGACCATCTGTTCCTCCTGTCCATCCCGAGAGGCCTCCAGCGCGGCCTCCCTTCCCCACAGGGTCCCAGTTCAGCTAACCAGATGGAAGGCCTGATTTGCACAAAGAGGGCTCTTTTGGAGTCCGTGCCTTTGGAAAATGCTCAGAGACTGAGCTGGTTTGGGGAGGGAGGTCAGGGCTGCTCACCAAAGAGGGAGGGAGAGCCTTTCCCCTTTGGGCCACTGAGCGTCCCCTCTGCCGCCTGTCTTCCTCCCTGCCCTGGGCCTCCTGCCCTCATCCCACCCTGTTTCCTAACAGCATGTGACCCAGTGGGAGGGCTGAGGGGTGAGCCGATGGGCTGGGGTAGGTGGACCAGGACGGTCCGCAGTGCCTTGAGAGTGGAAGGAAGCCACCCCGCCTCCCATGAGTGGTCCTAGACATGTCCCTGACCTTGGACATCAGCCCCTGCACCTCACTTCAGCCAAGGGCCCCTTACACCATGCCATTGAACGCTGCGAGCTCATTCCCTTGCCCTGCCCTGGGTGACAGACTGATCCTGCCTGGTGTCCTGTTTTCTTCGACACCCCCAACCATGCTCCAGCTGGCTAGCCTGTCCCTTCATCACCCAGAGGAGCAGGTACCCAAGGTCGGAAAGGCTGCAGGACCTGGGAGCCTCTGGGAAGGGTGGCCTGAGGCCAGACAGCCTCCTGCTCTGCCCAGGTCGAGTGGCCAGCAAGCAGCTCTTCCACTGAGCCCCTGCCCTGGGTGGGATCCAGTGCCAGACCTGGGCAGGGCTGAGGGCTGGTGACTGCAGAGCCTCTCACACGGGAAGGGGCCTGGCCCTGTGCCTCCCGAGGCCTGCAGCTCCCAGGTCTGCTCCTGAGCGGCTGATTTTCATCAGCAGAGGGTTTTCCTTCTGGCCACAGAGATAGGTTTCCCTGAGCCAGTCTCCTCTGTCACCTTGGCTTTGAGCAGTGTCTGAGTTTCAGGAAGGAGATGGCTGTCACATCCTTCATTCCTCTCTTTTTGATACTGGAGATGGTTTGGGGAGATGGCCCCAATCTGAACCTTGGGTTCTGTTCTTGGCTTCTTTTTTTCCTGTTTTCCGTATTCGCTTTAATCATCGGTAACACATGATCTTTTATGAGTCTAAGACTGTTAACATTGTTTCTCATTTTACAGAGGAGTTACCTTGGATAACCTATCCCCACACAGAGTTTTTGTTTTTAATTTTTATTGGAGTATATAGTTGATTTACAATGTTGTGTTAGTTTCTGGTATAAAGCAAAGTGAATCAGTTATACAGATACTTATCTTGGCTTCTTAAAGTGTATCAGGCCGGGAGTTTGATGCTTTGGTTCCAGCATCTCTCTGTCAGTGATCAGCAGGGTGACCTTGGACACGTCACATCACCACTTTGGGCTGCAGGGTGTTTGTGAGGGGTCCCAGGCTAGGGCCCAGCTCTTGGACAAGACTTAGGGCCTTAATTTCTTCTGGGATTAGCCATTTTCCACTGATGACGTAATGGGTATGAAGTGATACCACAGGGTATCTGTCTCCTGGAAGAAGAAAGACCTATCACAATAGCAGCAGGGCTTACTACGTGCCTGGCATCCTGCTAAGCACTTTTGTAGATTTAGTTTATTTGAATCTCCAACCCCTCCCAGGCAGAGGGTTCTCCCCCACCGCCAGCCCCCATTCCGTAGAGGAAGAAATGGAGGCCCGGAAGTTAAAGGAAGTGCCCGAGGCCTGCGTGGCTGCAGGGACCATGAGGCCTGATGGCCCCTCGCAGCCTAGTCTTTGATCTTCAGAGCTCGGAGGTGTCTTAAACATAGGCCTGCAGGGTTGGTTCACAAGTGGGAAACTGAGGCCCAGAGAGGAGGAGTAGCTGTGATGGGGCCTGCAGTCCCAGGCTGGGGCCTGGAACCCAGGGCCCTGCTGTCCCCATGTACCCTGAGGGCACCTCCCGCGGGAATCGTCCGGCTCCAGAGCTGAGAATGCACCCTTTGTGCCAGCACAATCTCTGATGAGACACGGGCCTTCCTGCTCTGAAAGCCCCGATTGTCGCTGCCAGTGTGGAGCTAGGCTGCCCACGCTCCCGCCCCATCCCTTCCTGCTGTGGGGCCTTTTGTACTCCTGGATCCCAGTACAACAGCCGGGCTGTTGATCCAGAAGGCCCAGTGTGACTGGGACAGGGCGGCCTGCCAGCGCCCTTCCCGGTGGGGATTGTCCCAGCCCGAGAGGGAGGTGGGCCCTGTCATCTCCCTGCAGTGACAGAGAGAGGCCCGGAGGAGAGTCAGGAGACCTGGCCGGGCCCCTAACCAGAGTTGAGACCTGCTCGGTGATCTGGGGAGAATCAAGCTCCCTCTCTGGGCCTCCTTATCTGTAGAACAAGAGCTTGGATAGGAGAGAAGAGTGGAGAGAAGGCCTGGAGGGCAAAGGGAAGGTTCCAGCACAGGCCTGTCTTTGGCAGTAGAAGGAGCGCCAGGCCAGGAACCTGAGCAGCTGAGTCCCAGCCCTGGCCTGGATGGGTTGTTTGATCTGTAAAGGAATGGGGTGCACCATTCCTGCATCCGATGGGCACTGGGGGCGTGGAAGGGGTGCTTTGTGCAGGTAGGGGCAGGGGCCACCTGGGCATGTGGGCACTCTGGTTCAATCCCGACTTTTGGGAAATCTCGGGTGGGACTCTGGGGATGTGTGCTCTTCTTCCTTTGTAATTTCTCTGTCTAAATAGACCATCGACTTTCTGAATGACAACATTCGAAGAGGAATCGAGAACTACTATGACGATCTGGACTTCAAAAACATCATGGACTTTGTTCAGAAGGAGGTGAGCCAGGCGCTTTGGGTCAGACATCTGCCTCCCATGCCCTTTGTCCCCTACAGGGGACCCTGCTCAAGAGGGTCGGGGTGAGGGTCACATGGCTTATCCATTCCCAAAGCAGGTGGCTGGCCACGTTGGGAGGCAAGGGTGGGCCATGGATGGCCGCCAAGGGTAGGGATGCCAGGGCCTGACCTTCTCAACCAGCTCTCTACCCGTGTGCTTCCCCCACAATATACTTGCCCTACCTGTTCCTCTCCAGGTACACGGGCCCTCCCCTCCTGGAAAAAAAAAAAAAGAACAAGGTCAGGGGTAGCTACAAGCCACCTGGCAGTGCCTCAGGGTGCCCCATCTCCAGTGGGTAAAGATCCTCCTTCTTTGAGGTGGGAGTGACCTCCAAGCCACCCAGTTCGAAGTTCCCCCTGCCAGGACCCTTTAGTGATGGGGAGCTCACTGCCTTGCCAAGTCCAGGACAGCCCCGACGGGGAGAGAGCTCTTCCCCGACTCCACTTCCCCCTGCATGGGGGACCAGCACAAGACTTCTCCTTTTCCTTGATGACGCTTCTTTGAATGTGATAATTGTCCTTTGGGGATGTCATCCCTCTTCCCAAGGTCCACCCGAATCTGTGGGTGTAATAATAATAGCAGTTGCAGGGCAAGCTGCTGCCCTCGGGGGGCTTCTACACATCAACCTCACTTAGTCCTCCTGCGCCTTAGCCTCCTCATCTGCCTCAAGGGGCTACTAATGGTCCCTTCCTCTTGGCGTCGTTGCGAGATTGCCTCGACCTGTTTCAGAGGTGGTTAGAGCAGTGCCAGGCAAATGATGAGACCTAGGTCCGTGTCAGCTGCAGTGGTCATCATCCTCATGTCCTACTAGGGGAGGACAAGCAGAGTTTGAGGGCCGAGGGCCTGCTCAGCCCTGGCAGCGCTTCTTTGGATGTGACCTTGGGGGCGTCAGCTGGCCTGATCCCCGTGCTAGCCCTCAGTGGGGACAAATGTCTCACCGCGCCCAGGGCCACCCGTAGTGGCCACACCCTTGGCTCAGGCCTTCCATGTAGTCACAACAGGTGCAGCCTCCGGGAGGCCCTTCTTTGCCAGGGATGTGCCTGCCAGCTCTGGCCATCAAGTGGAGCAAAATGCTTTTATTGGAACCAACCTTCAGCTGGCTCGCAATTTTCATTTCTTCCAGGGTGGAATGGCGGGATGACTCATGCTCACTGGGCACCCTGCTTGGTGCTGAATGCCTCATGCATGGCTTCCCTTTGTAATTCTCAGCTCAGCTGTGCAAAGCTGACGTTGCTCTTCCTGCTTTACGGTTGAGGATCTGAGGCACAGAGAGGGTCACTGACTTGCCCAAAGTCACACAGCATGGAGTTACCGGTAGTGTGAGGATTTGAACTCTGGCCTGTCTGATGGCAAAGCAAATGCCCTTTGCACTGTACCCCAAAGAGGCACTTCCAGATCCCTCAAACTGATAACCTAAAAGGCTCTATGGGGACTCTGAAAGGGTATCTGCTTTGTGTTTTTACTAAGACCTTGGATCATATCACTCCCCTGGTTAATAAACCCTGCAGTGACTTTCCGTCACTCAGAATACCATCCCAGCTCCCTGCTGGTTCTGGCTGACAGGGCTTTCATGGTCTGGCCTCATGTCCTCCATTCTTGCTGGCTCTGCTCCAGGCACACCTGCTGCTGAAATATAACCACCTCGTCTCTGCGTGGGGTCTTTGCATGTCTTGACCGGCTTTTTCCTGTTCCTATTTCAGATTAAATGACATCTCCTCAGGCCTTTCCCGACCTCCCCGCTCCTTCCCCTGTTTGCCGTATCCCTGGTACCCAGCACTACCTCACTGTCCTTTTCACAACGCTGATTCCTCTCTGTCTCCCTCTGCAGATGTGTCCCATATGGGCAGGGCTGTGGTGCTTTGGCTGCCCCTTGTCTCTCTGGCACACAGAACAATGCCCGGCACACACCAGCATCTCAGTGGAGTAACTGCTTCCCCCAGGCGTTGGCATCTGTACAGGGGGAGATGCAGGGAGGGGCTAAGCTAAGGGGAAAATGATGCCAGCTGTGCCATCGCTTCAGTCCTGAGCCCAGGCCAGGGTGTGAGGTGTGTGCCCCTTTGCTAAGGGCAGGACAGGCAGAGCTGGGGCAGGTGAGGAGAAGGTCAGTGTGGTTCAGGGACCCCTGGGTTGTGGGGCTTGCCTAGAATCCTGTTCTCCGGGACCTTAAAGGCCAGCTCCTCGGGTTGAGCACCTGCCCTGGGGATGTGAAGATGGAGTCCGGTTGTCAAGGAAGGATGTTCCCTCCAGTGTTTAGTCACCACCCCGCTATCCCACCAAAAGGCTACCCAGCCTTGGCTTGCATGCCTCTCCAGTGACGGGGCGCTCACTACCTGTTGGGCAGCCATGCCGCTTTTGGCGAACTCTGACCCCACAACGGATGCCTCATTTGCTGCCTGTAGCTCCCCCTACCAGGGTGACCCCCATGATAAATCACATCGTTCATCCCCCGGCAGGGCCCCTCCCTGCCGTCTGCCCGGGGCCCCGGCGGTGATGGCAGCTCTCTTCCCCGCTTGTTTCATCCCTCAGTTTAAGTGCTGTGGCGGAGAAGACTACCGAGATTGGAGCAAAAACCAGTACCACGACTGCAGTGCCCCCGGACCCCTGGCCTGCGGGGTGCCCTACACCTGCTGCTTCAGAAACACGGTACCCACTGCTCCTGGGGCTTGCCGGCTGGTCAGACACTTCTCTCACCTTTCAGGACGGGTGGTGGGGATGGTTGGGTGCGGCAGGCAGGAGGTGGTGGTCATTGTCGAGGCTTCCTGAGCCTCGAGGGCTACTAAAGGGGGTGAATCTGGGAAGGGGGGCGGGGAAGTCTTGTCTTATTAGTAGCGGTCGTTAACATCTACTGAGCACTTACCATGTGCTGGCCTTTTCTAGGTTCTTTAGTTGTATTAACTCATTTAGTCTTTTCAACAACCCTGTGAGGTAGGTACCGTTATTTCACCCACTGTACAGATGAGAAAACTGAGGAATCAAAAGGTTAGGTGCTTTGCCCAAGGTTGATGGGGCTGGGATGAAATTCAGGCAGCCATTGTCAGAGCTGCACCCTGGACTCCTGTGCAAGCCAGGCAAGGAGTAGGAGAGGGTCCAGGCCGGGGGGCTTAGCAGGGTGGCTGGCTTGACAGCCGTAGCCAAAGGACCAGAGCAGGGCCTGCACTGTGGGCATTGCTGGTGGACTTTGGGCTTGACGTCCTGGTCACCATCAGCAACAGGGTATTTGGAAGGGGTCTGGTGATGTAACCGTCAGCCTCCGCCTCTCCCCAGTGGGATCCTCTCAGCTCTGTTGCCTCCTTGGCCACTTGGGAGGCTGCCCTGTGCTGTCACTGCTAATAAATGAGAGGCTTGGTCAATCCTGTGTTTGACTAATGTGTCCCAAAACTGCATGGCTTCTGGGTTGGAATGAGGCGGAGAGCTTTGCAATTACTCACACCCTGAAGAGTCATGGAAAATTTCTCTTCTGATGCTCCACCATTCTGTGCCCACTTCCGGATTCTGTAAACCACGCAGCTGCTGGTAGGGGTGGGGGCCTCACCCAGTGAGTCAGGGAGCCAGTGCCAAGTGCATTAGCCCTAAAAAGGCTGGGCCAGGAGGGGAGGTTTGTTTGGAAATTGTAGCTGCCATTTTAGGGTAGCTTTCTGTGCAAGGGGAGTGCTGGGGAAGAGCCTGGGATTTTTAGGGAGGCCTACAGGGGGGTGACCCTGAACTTCATCACCCAAGGCAGTGGCACCTGAAGGTCCAGGTTGAAATGTGGAAGCCCAGCTTGTATTCATTCATTCATTCAACGAGTATTTATTGAGGACCTGCCAGATGTGGTTCTACATTCTGAGGATACAGAAAACACACAGAGAACTTTTGCCTGCATGGAGCTGACATTCTTTCTAGTGGGTAGAACTGACAAGAAAAATAAATAAGTAAAAGAGATAGTATGCTAGAAGATGATAAATGCTAAGGAGAAAAATAAAGCAGGGGCGTGGAGGATTGCAATTTTAGATACTGAGAATGTAGGTTCTCAGTAAAACCCTGAAGGAAGTGAGGGAGTGAGCCATGTGTATCTGGGGATGGGAACTCCTGGCAGAGAGAACAGCAAGTGCAAAGGCCCTGAGGTGGGAGTTGCCCTGGTGAGTTTGAGAAACAGTGCAGAGATCAGTGTGGCTGGAGCAGAGTACGTGTGGGGGAGGAGAGTGGCAGACAAAGTCAGGGAGGTCATGGGTGCCCTGATGGCCGTGGTCAGGACTTAGGTTCCCTTGAGTGACAAGCAGTCAAGTGACAGGGCTTTAGTAGCTGAGTAGCAGATCTTACTTAGGCTTTACCAGGACCACCCTGTCTGCTGTGGGAGCAGAGGTGACGTGGGGAGTCTGGTTAGGGGCTAGTGCAGTGGTCCAGGTGTCACAGCTAAGGCTGTCCGGGAAGTGGGCTCTGACACGCTGGTTAGTGAGCAGGAGGTTTAGTAGGAGGTGCGCTCAGGATTGACACCTGTAAGGGAGGTGACAGAAGCTGGGCTGGACAGAGGGAGAGGTTGAGCAATGATGCAGGCTCAATGGGGGCCTCAGCTGCCTCTCCAGGAATGTCCTGGGATGATCCTTCAGAATTGTCCCATATTGGGGCAAGGGGAACAGGTCTTCATACCCTCCACATGCACCAGGCACTACATGAGGAGTGTCCCACTCGGAAGGGACTTGCTGGCTTGTTCAGCAGAGAAACAGAACCAATAGGATGTGTGTGTGTGTGTAAAGAGATTTATTATAGGAAACTGACTCACGGAATTATGGAGGCAGGCAAGTCCCAAGATCTGCAGGGTGAGTCGGCGAGCGAGAGCCCCAGGAGAGCCAATGGTTTAGTTCCAGTCTGAGTGCACAGGCCTGAGAACCAGGAGAGCTGATGATGTAGTTCCTGTTTTAAGGCTGGCAGACTCAAGGCCCAGGAAGACCCAGTGTTTCAGTTCAGGTTTGAAGTCAGGCAGGAAGAATTCTCCCTTACTTGGGGGAAGGGCTGCCCTTTTTTTCTATTCAGGCCATCGACTGATTGGATGAGGCCCGCCCACGTTAGGGAGGGCAATCTGCTTTACTCAGGCTACTGATTTAAATGTTAATCTCATTGGGGGCTTCCCTGGTGGCGCAGTGGTTAAGAATCTGCCTGCCAGTGCAGGGGACACGGGTTCGAGCCCTGGTCCGCGAAGATCCCACATGCCGCAGAGCAACTAAGCCCGTGCGCCACAACTGCTGAGCCTGCGCTGTAGAGCCCATGAGCCACAACTACTGAGCCTGTGCGCCACAACTACTGGAGCCCAAGCGCCTAGAGCCTGTGCTCCACAACAAGAGAAGCCACCGCAGTGAGAAGCCCGCGCACCACAATGAAAAGTAGCCTCCGCTCACTGCAACTAGAGAAAGCCCGCATGCAGCAACGAATACCCAACGCAGGCAAAAATAAATAAACTAAATAAATTAATTAAAACAAAAACAAAAAATGTTAATCTCATTAAAAAACCACCCAGAATTAATGTTTGCATAGATATCTAGGTGAGTCACCCTGGGGCCTAGAGAAGAGTTCTGGGCTCTAGGGTTAGGGAGGCCTCTGCTGCTGCATGTCTGTTCCCTGAAGGGCAGGAGCTGTGGTTCTACCTCCAGGGCTGGAAGCGCAGTGAAGAGTAAGTTTATTCCTGTCATCTTCTTATATACCATATAGCTTACTTATTTATTATGTTCATTGTCTGTCTCCTTCCCTAGAATAAAAGTTCCATGAAGGCAAGGACGCTTTTTTGTTCTTCTATATTCCCAACACCTAGAACAGAGAATGGTACATAATGAGTGCTCAGTATTTGTTCAGTAATGACTGAATGAATGAACAAATGAGGTAGGAAGCACCTGTTCCCATCATGCCCTCGTGCACTTGCTCCCCAGGCCTGACCTTCTCCCTGGGGGTCATGTTCTTGGCCTGGGGGGCCACAAATGCCAACTGACATGAAGTGGATGCTCGGTGTTTTGGGGTCTGAGGGCTCCTGGGGGACAGTCTAGACTGAGAGAGGTTATTTTGCCCACACATCAGGCCCTGACATTTAGACAGATCTAGATGACGCCTGAGGTTCAACCCACTCTTTTGGAAAGAGAGCAGACAGCCCTCCTTGCCTTCCAGGGCCTGGGATCGTGTCCAAAGTCACTCCAGCCAGCGTGTCTGTGTTCTGCCATGTGCCCAGCCCTGGGATAAGCCCTTTACGTGTATATCTCACTTTATATTCAAAATAGCTCCGTGGGGTACATTCTTAGATCACCATTGCTTTATGGAAGAGACCAGGGAAGCTATTCATCATTCATTCATTCAACAAATCCTTATTGAGTGCCTGCATGTGCTAGTCCCTCAGCAGCCCACCTAAGGTTGGTCACAGAGCTCCTAAGTGGCAGAGCAGGACCTGGACCAGGTAACATGATGCCAGAGACCACACTGGCCACTCTGCTGTCCTGCATTACTGCTGGAACCTGTGGCACCCTGGTCCCACAGCAGCTTTCACTTAGATGTGAAGGGATGGGACCGGGACATCGAGCTTTCTCTCACCTTCTAGAAAATAGAGGAAACTATACAAGGGCTCAGGCAGTGATGGGAAGTGCCCCTGCCAGTCCTGTGTTATAGGTCTGCTGGGAAGAGATTTGATGGGTCTAGGGCCGACCACGGCTTCCCCTGCGCCTAGATTAGTCAGCCGCTGGGAGTTCCTGAGAGCAGCTCTCTTCCCAGGAAGGAGGTTGGGCGGTCCTTCCACTGGTGGGTGGCTGTCTGCAGGAACAGGGAAGTGTGGTCAGAGGCCTGGCTTTGCCGTCAGGTAATCCCCAGCTGGCCAGGGCCCTGGCTGTGGTCTGGGATTTTCTTTCATAAGAGCCAGCGTAGTGGGAGCAGCCCAGCCCTGACCTCAGACAACCCATAACCATATCAGCAAAGCTTGGGCTCTGGGGCAGCTGCACTAAGGGAGCCTGGGGCAGTGCCCTTTCCTCTGGGTTCCTAGGCTGCCACGGGTGGAGCAGTGGGCCTCCCACCAAAGCGCCATGGAACTGGCCTTCCTGCCTGTCCTCCCTGTGCATTTCTTGGAGGCGGGAGGTTAAGATGCAGACTTGAGCCAGCCGGGGTGGGAATCTCAGCTCCATCCATACTAGGCAGTGCAACTCTCTGTGCACTATAAAATGGGGGTCAGGGGGAATAAATGTCTTCTACGGTAAACACTATGTAAGTGTTAGCTAATACACATTTCTGTTTCAGACAGAAGTTGTCAACACCATGTGCGGCTACAGAACTATTGACAAGGAGGTAACGTCTTTGAAATCTCTTTCCTCCAGAAAGGTTGCCCTTCCTGTCCCATCTCCAGGGTGATCAGAGGGGCTACCAGGGGTGAGGCTCCTGGCTGCTGAGATTTCCCAACATTCCTGGCTGTGAAAAGGAGCCAGGGACTGCCCAGGTTTTCTGCCTTACCCAGAACAGGACTCGGGGAGCCAAGAATCCCCCCAGGCTGGGAAAGGCTGGCTGCCAGGATGTGCCGAGCACCTAACGTGTGAGGCCACCGAGGCCACCGTGCCCCTGCCAGTGCCCCCAGCATGTCCCTGTGCCCGGCCGCGCTCAGCACCCGCTTGCCTCTGCCCTTGGAGCTGCCCATTTGCAGACGACGCACGCTGGCTTCCTCAGCCTGGGACCCAGGAGTCCCTTGGGGAAGAGAGCCTCTGGAAGGTCCCTCCTGGCTCAGCTTCCTGGGCATTTCTCCTGGACTTGGAGACAAGCTGGGGTGGTGCTGAGAAGGAAGCTGAAAATAGTGACGACTTGAGATGCCTCTGAGCAGTGGTTCTCACAGTGAGGTCCCCCGACCAGCAGCAACAGCAGCGCCTTCCACCCCCCCGCCCCCGACCTGGGAACTTCTTAGAAACGGGCATTCTTGGGGTGGCGCCGGCAGGTGATTCTGACACACGTTTAACATGCAGAGCCACAGACCAGCAGTGATTCTCCAGCCATCAAACCCAATGGCCAGTTTTTACATTAAACACTTGGTAATGCCCTATTTATTATTCCAAAGTGAAATTCACAGATAATATAACCTACCTACACACGTAATTCCAAAACAGGTAACGTAATGATTTGAGATAAAAGGAGAAATAAGATAAAACAATTTACAACCATATACCATATTTCAACACGTACGTGCTCAGGCACTAGATAGAGAAAGCGAAGTGGTTGGGTGTTTACACTGCCAGGGGCTTCTGATACTTGGCAGGGGTGTTGTGTGGACAACTTGCATTACCATGGGCGTATTTTTGCCATTGACATGGTTTTTCAAAATGGTGAACAATTCTTGATAAAGTTGCAAACAAAATAAAGTATAATTATCCCTTACTTTATCTAATATTCTTTCTACAGAATTCAGTGCATAGTAAAAACATGCAGAAAACACTTTGGTTTTTATGTCCCTGGAGTTAGGCTTTGGGCTCAGATAATTATGGATGGGTTTTCACCCATCCAGATGCCCAGGGGACATCTAAGAGGCAGGTAGTCTGGGAAGTTGTCCGTGGAGTAGGATTGCCCTGAGCTCTACAGTCCCTCAGCCCCCAGCCCCGATCGCAGTGATAACCGGAAGTGCCACCACAATGTCCGCAGTGCTCTCTAGGGAGCGGTACCGCCTGCTGAGACCCAGTGATCTAGAGCCACCTTCTCATCACATTGCATACAAGAAACTGAGGCCCAGAGAGGCTGAGGGACTCGCCTGGACCTGGGGTGAGTGGCAGAGTTGGGACCAGGGCTTCCAGGCGAGTGCTCAGCCAGGCTCCTCCCCGGCAGCGCCTCAGCGTGCAGAATGTCATCTACGTGCGGGGCTGCACCAACGCCGTGCTCATCTGGTTCATGGACAACTACACCATCATGGCGGGCCTCCTGCTAGGCATCCTGCTCCCCCAGGTGTGCTGGTCCCCCCCCCCCGGCCCCCAGGGAGGGGAGCTAAACGTGGGGATGGTGTGGGCAGGCTGTGGCTTCAGATGATGTGTGGCTTGGTGATTACAGAGTGCAGAGTAGGCACAAAGGGCTGGGGTGAAGAGAGCTCTTGGACCAGCCACCTGGGCTCACCCTGGGAGGGCTGGAGGGCTGGAAGGAGGGGGTGAATGGCCTAGAAAGTGAGTGACATAGCTGGGGGGGGGGGGGAATAGGAGTCGCAGAATGGAGGGTCTCTGGGATTTCCCGGCAGGCGCAGAGGAGGGCCCAGGCTGGGGCCATTGGGGTAGTGGGGGCTCGGGACTGCCGGAGAGGGCCACCCAGATGGCCAGCAGGCTCTCACCCGCCCTGCCCGTTCTCCTCAGTTCCTGGGGGTGCTGCTGACATTCCTGTACATCACCCGGGTGGAGGACATCATCACGGAGCACTCTGTCACCGATGGGCTCCTGGGACCCAGCACCAAACCCAGCGTGGACGCAGCAGGCACGGGGTGCTGCATGTGCTACCCCAATTAAGGCCGTAGCCTGGGGCGGCAGCTCCAGAAGGACCGTGACAGGACATCTCTGCGCAGGCCACGTCGTGGGGGCCAGATAGGACTGTGGCCCCTCTCTCCACATTCAGCACTGACCAAAGCCATGGCTGTGTTTGCTCAGGGCTCCCAGGCCACCGCCTGTCTGGGGGGCGGAGCCCCTCCCCAGCTGCGGAATTCTGTGCGTGCCCACCCTGCTGGGCGTGGGGAACAGGGCACCCCTCCTCCATGCTCCGGCTGCTGGGGAAGGGGGAGCTTGGCGCTGGGCTCCGAACCCATTTCATTTCTGGTAGTGCCTTGGCCTTGGTGTTTGTGCCCCTTTGAGGGCAGTTTTGTAGTGATTTGTAATCGGGGAGGGAGGAGAGCATGTGTGCCCCGAGGTGAAGGAGCAGAGGGGTGGGGTGCAGACCCCAGGCCCCAGTCCTTCGGCCTCACCCTGAGGCCACGTTGGGTCCGTTTCTCAGCCTCCCGGGTACCTTGAGACCACCCCAGGGCTGCTGCTTTGTTGACCCTGTTTTGTACCTGATTTTATAACATTCATTTTGTACACAGTTAACAGGAGTTTCCGACTAATCAAAGCTAGCTGTTCCCCCATTCCTCTTCCCCCTCCAAGCCAGTTTATTAATCAGACAATAAAGACATGATTTTTTTTTTTTCTGGTTTTTTGTTTGTGCCGTTTGGGTCGAGAGTGAGGAAGACCCCAAGTTGGGCTTGGAAACCCCTTGTTGGTGCAAAGATTGAAGGGGAGCCACCCTGAGACCAAGATTTGGGAGAGTTTGGGACACTGAGGCCCAGGAGGATCAACCGAGGCTGCCCGTTCCCAGCTTGGAATGGCCTCTCTCACCCTTTGGTTTGTGGACTGGGCCTGGAGCCTCCGGTGCCCATCCTTCCTGCCAGGAATTCACTTGCGGGAAACCTCAGGGAAAGAGGCAGAGATGACAACCTATTTTACAGACTGGGAAACTGAGGCCAAGCCACACTGGCATGAGTCTTCTCTTCCGGGAAGTGGGGTAGATGGGAACTAGGAAAGTCAGGGGTCCGGGAAGGAGCAGTGCCCACAGATCCACCCTTGACCTTTGGGCTATAGAACTGGAGTGACTCTTTTTTTTTTTAACCAAACAAAACGTGCTTTATTTAGTAAAAACTGGTGAGTGTGGGCAGGACATGGCAGAAGTACACAGGGGCTGGGGATGGGAGGGTCAGGGGTCAGCACCAGGGGGACATGACTCAGGATGGAGGAGCCAGAGGTCAGAAGACTTGGAGGTGGGTGGGTCTTTGGTAACTTATCACCTGCTCCTCCAGAGGCTACACGTGGCTCAAAAGCCCCTGGGGGTTCCAGAGGCCTGACCAGCAAGGGTCTCTGCAGGTCAGGGAGGCCCTACCCCCAACATCAGCAGGAACTCTCGGGGAGAGGATGAAAGCACCTGGATAGCATCGGACTGTAAACAGCCCATTGTTCCAGGGCCTGGGGTGGGGCTGGACGGTGGTCACTGCCTAGCAAAGGATGGTGCTGGTCGCCCCCTGCTGGAGACGGCAGGACCTGCGTGGATCAGTCCACCCAAGCCTTCCTGCCCCAAGAGTTGAGTTCTAGATTTGCTGTGAGGTTCTTGGTAGCCAGGGCAATAGAAATAAACAGCATGAGCCCCAAACCTGAAGAATTCAATTTAAGAGTGTTAAAGGAACTGCCCATCTCACCCACAAGAGGTGGGAGGCCTGGTTGGCCATATGTACAAGCCTGCATTTTCTGATGTGTAGGAAAGGGCAGAAGAGGGATTTTTTTTTTTTTAAAGGATAGAATAATGCAACAATAGCAAGCACATCACTGAGCACACTCTGTCTCAGAAACTTGTCTAAACATAGATATTAACTCCTTTAATCCTTACAACTGTATGTGGTAAATCCTGTTATCTCCATTTTATTGAGGAGAGACTGAGGCATATTGTGGTTAAGTAACTTGCCCAAAGCACACGGCTGGTAAGTGACAAAGCCATGATGTGAACCTGGGTAGAATCTTCCTGGCATGCAGCCCCTCTGCTGTACTGATTCTGTTGACTCGTATGGACACATGGTACTAAGCGTGCAAAACCTGGGACGGCTGTTACTGTAGCTGTCCCCATGGGGTGGCCATTGCAGCCGCTGCTGGAGCCTCTGCCTGGTCCCCATTTTGACCAGTGCATTCAAGCCCAGGTCAAACTCTGTGTCTGGCTGGTGGCCTCGTGGCACCCTGGCTCTGGCTGTTCTCTGAGGATTCTCTCTGCTCAGAGGGTGTGGCAGCTGCCTTTGGGACAGCAAGATGGCAGAGGCACCGAAGGGGTTGGGACTGCACTGAGTCTGCTTATCCAAAGTCACATTACCCTGGAACCTGGAAACCTCTGGTCACCTTGTCCTCCCTCTTCTCGCCACCACTCACCAACACCCCTCTACCTCCCACTGCTGCTTCTGTGCACCAGGGATCACAGGTTGGTGCCCACAGTAGGCTGAGTGCCGTGGACACTTAGCTCTTCTTTTTTTTTCGAAACCTCTCCTGAAAACAAACGGAACCCATTTGTTTTCAGGACTGAGAAACCCACAGCCTTTCTCAGTCCTGTGGTTGGGATGCCCCTGCTTTGCACCCCTTGTGCTTCAAAAGCAGTTACATCATCCTGACCCCTTGTAACACAGGATGGAAGAATGACCCTCAAAGTGAGTCATTTTCCCTCACCGTGGCACACAGAGAAAATGATGATATCAGTGCAGCCCACAATATTTGTGAAGCCGGGGGAGATTTGTAGGCTTTGATTTGGGACTTTTTTGGTTCTCATATATTTATAAGAAAAACAAAACAATAAAATGCATTAAGGAAGACTGGGTTAGTATAAAAATTCCAAATAGTATTCTCCAAACTTTGTTTTAATAGTATATTGAGGTATATTCAACCTAAAATAAACCACACACATTTAACGTGACAAGCATATCACTATCAAACCATCATCACGATAGAGATAATGAACAACCCCATCATGCTAAAGAAATTTCCTCTTGCCCCTTGGGGATTCCTTCTTTATAGCCCTTCTCAGCACCCGCTAACCCATCTCCAGGTGACCATGGATCTTTCTGTCTCTATACATTATATTTTCCAAAATTTTATATAAGCGGATTCATACAGCATGGACTCTTCTCTCTGTCTGCCGTTTTTTGCTTAACGTAATTATTTTGAGTTTCATTCATTTCCTAGCACGGATCAGTAGTCCATTCCTTTGTATTGCTGAGTAGTATTCCTTTGTATGGCTTTGCCATAGTTTATCCGATCACCTATTGATGGACATCTGTGTTGTTTCCAGGTTTTGGGTTGTTTTTAATACAAATAAAGTTGCTATGACCATCCATGTACCTGTCTTTGTACAGAAGTATACTTTCATTTCCCTTGGGTAAATATCTAGGAGTGGAATAGCTGGATCATATGGTAAGTGTATGTTTAGGTTTATGTTATAAGAAACTGCTGAAGTATTTTCCACAGTGGTTGCATGATTTTATATCCTGACCAGTAGTGGAGAGTCCCTGTTCCTCTGCATCCTTGCCGGTATTTGGTATGGCCAGTCTCTTAAATTTTGGTCATTGTAATGGGTGTGTGGTGATAAATCGTTGTGATCTTACTTTGCATTTCCTTTTTTATCTATGTGTGTGTATATCTATCTATCTATATATATTTATTGAAGTATAGTTGATTTACAATGTTGTGTTTCAGGTATACAGCACAGTTACATATCTATAACTGATGATATATTGGTAATATAATATAAATCTATTCTTTTCAGATTCTTTTCCCTTATAAGTTATTACAAAATATTGGCTAGAGTTTCCTGTGTAGTACAGTAGCTCCTTGTTGGTTATCTATTTTATATATAGTAGTGTGTGTATGTTAATCCTAACCTCCTAATTTATCCCTCCTCCACTCCTGTCTTTGAGAAGATGACCCGTTCTTTGGGTGACCTCTCTCCACTGTCCCACAGAATCAGTCAGGTAACAGCTGCCCCCCTTTTTCATGCTTGTTGTGCACCGGCTCCATGCTCATCTATTTTCACCTATAATGATGGTCCATAATAACCATGTTATAGAAAAGGGAACTGGGATCAGAAGGGTTGAGGAACGTGCCTAGGGCCCCCCATCTAGTAAGTGATACTGCCAGGATTTGAGAACATGTCTGACTCCAAGGCCCTTGGTCCCCCACGTGCTAGCCTGGCATTGGAGGTCCTACCTACCATTCTGGCCTCATCCATGTCCCTTGTTCCTGTCAGCAGGGCTTACCCAGTTCATTCTTAGCTCGCACGGTTCTACCTATCATCTCGTGAGAAAGATCCAGCTCTCAACTCTTCCACATTCCCTTTCCCCATCTCCTTTGAGTTTCACTTCAATTCTGTGTGTGGAAAGACTTATTTTTATGATTGCCTATTTTGCAGATGGAGAAAACTGAGGCCAGACTAGTAAATTGTATACCAAGTGGCTCCACCAGCAACCCCAGAACCTGGTTCCTTCCAAGCCCCTGCCCTGCCTACCATCCACCTGGGGCCTGGGACGTGCACAGTAATATGGAGCTGCTGGTTCCCGGCGATGGCCTCCCACAGTCTGAGCCCTTGGAGGGAGCCTGATTTGCAATCCTGAGAGCCCAGGAAGGCAAAAAGCACGTCTCCTGGCATGGCTGCATATTGCCACTAGGTGGCGCTGCCGGTCCGCGGCTTGACGCCCAGAACGCAAACTCCACCCCCTACCCCCGCCCCACGCCGACCAGAGCCCGGGCCGGCGCTGTGGCTGCCGCCGGAGTGTGCCCTTCAGACCGTACCCCAAGGAGCGGGCCAAAAGGTGAGGCTAAAATACTATAGGTATCTGCGTCTAGTAGGCACTCAATAAGTGATTGTTAACTGGGAAACGGAGGCTGGATACTAACAGTACGTTACTATTATTGACTGTCCCTAGGTGGCTGTGTGGTGTGAGGGCGTGTGTGTGGAGGGCGGAGGTACACCGTGCTTAGCACATTCTAGTCTTCATCCTCGTTAGTCGTCACAGGTGCTTTATTCCCGTTTTGCGGGTGAGGAAACTGGGGCTTAGGTCGGTTCGTGGAATAGAGGGAAGAACCAGGATTTGAAGCGCTCTGCCCACATCCTGTCGGGATCACCTGTTGGTCCAGTGCCGCCTCCTCGTCCGCGTCGAGCGGGAGCCCGGGATGAAAGCCCGCTACCCTGCTCAGCCAGCGCAGCCTCAGCCCCCAGCATCATGCGACCACCAGAGGGAGGCCTCGGCCTTCGGACAGCCGCAGAGGGGCCTCGAATGAGGCTGGGAGGGTGGCGGAGCAGTGGGGCAGCTGGGCCCTGGAGGGCAGCTTCTGGCTCTGGAAGGAGGATAAGCACCTCTGCCCGGCGGGTCGCCGTGGGCTGACAGGAAGCCATGCAGGTCCACTTGTTGCTCTGTGAGGGCTCCGCAGCCAGCCCTGCCCCAAGCCCTTGCCCCGGCCCTGAGCAGGCCTGAGCAGGCCGTGTGTACGAGCAACCATCATAACATAGCGGCCACCGCACGTGTTATCTATAATATTTTCCTGATTTGTTTTGCTGTTATGCGTCTCGCCCACTGAGCCACTGACAGGCGGGATTTTGCCTGCTCCGTGCACTGCTGTCTCCCCGGCACTCAGCGCT